TCACAGTCACCACCAATTAAAAAAGTGTGACTAATTTGTTTTAAGCTAAAACTAACTAAACTCAAACACTACAATCAATAATCCACTATTTAAAGACCCTAAAAACTTCAATTTGGCAGGCAGAAGGAGGCGTGGAAAGACTTGGTCTGAGTTTTCAAAGCCCTTCGGATCTTGCTGCGGTGAATTTGGTGGTTAATTAGAGTATACCTTGGAATTATACTCTTAGTATTGATTAAGATACTTGTGCCGAAGGATAATTATAGTTCTTTTCTTTATGGTAAGGCTTGGTAGTTTTAGGCTTTGATACAATCATTAAGATTCTTAACGATTATCACGTAAGTCACATGGGATATAACTTGAATTACAGCTACGGTGATCGGCAACTGTATCCAATCTTAGATTCTTGCATCATGAGTATCATAGATCAAAAACTTAATTACAATTCCAGTATTTACGTCACAGGTAAGTATTTGGTAGATCAGAAGTTTAACTTATATGATGTTACGAGGCACTTATTTAGCGAAGATCGACTTATCTAATTGTTACTCTAATTAGAAGCAACTATAGATTATGAGTATTGTTTAGTATATATATAATGAGTTTTAAGAATTATAGATTCTTTCTTTTCTTTCTCTAGGTGATTGAAATAGCTAAAAGGTTTTTAATAAAATGAGGAACTCAGATCAACACTTCTACTCTAATTTCGAAGGTCTAGGCTCTAATTGGAATTACAACGAATTGCAAGTTTTTCAATAACACTGGGACAGAAAAGAATAGAGTTTTCGGGACGAATTTATTAGGAACAAGAGAAAAGATAAGTAATAACTACTAGAGTACTTCTACTGTTAGGATTTCAAAATATTACTCAACTGAGTTCTGTCTTTATTTCAGGCAAAAAAACTTTGCTTATATATCATTTTTGCATGTTCAAGAAGTACAGGTTTTACAATATTATGTCAACACTAAAAGGACTAAAGGTTAAGGGCATTTATGACCTTAATGACCAAAATGAAATAAATGTACTTAATGGTATTACTGTCATATATGGCACTTTGGCCAAAAATAGTATAAATTATATTTGAGGACTATAATTTGTGATTACTATTTCTAGAAGTTTCCTCCTCAATTGAGTTTTACCACTATATACATGACTAATTTCCAATAGATATAATAACATAAGATAAAATATAAAAAAAAAAAATTAAGGTATCGGGAACCTCTCACAATTTCCCCTACTTAGTTTTGAGTTCTACGAGAATACTCGATTAACGAATGGTAATCACTGTTACTAAGCGGCAGACTCTTCCCAGAGTAGTATAAGTAGAGCGGTAAACTTGGTCAATTCCATACTGTTCAAAAATATAATAAGTTCTAAGGGCAGCAGTATAGTAGTGGCGGAGACAAGACCACAGAGGCTTCGAAGTTGGTTGCGGGGCATAGTATCTAGGACCGAACCTAGATAGTAAGCAAAAGTGAGACTTTCAAGTCTCTCTCTTCTACGAAGGGCTCTAAGCAAATAATAGTAAGTGATAGTAATTTTGATAGAATTTTCTTAATCTTTAGTAAAGGGTGGCGAAGTGGGGTCTACGTCAATAGGTTCGAGACAACATTGGTTTAACTGGATATGTTAGACAGGTAGAATATTACCCATGTTGTTTGTTTGTTATGGTATTATTATTATTATTGTTTCTTTTTCTTTTTCTTTTTTTTTTTTTTGTTAAAAGATATGTTAAATTTGCCTTTATTTATACTTTTCACTTATGATATGGCTTTAGTAAAGTCTTATTTACAGGTACTGCTAATATTTTTTCACTTGTTTCCCATAGTTTGTATGTGCCATTTGGAAGTTTATTGTGAATATAATATGGTCTCTTAAATTTGGGCATCAACTTATTACTGCGTGTTCCCAATTTCCTGGTATTGAAAACTAAGACTTTCTTGCCGATCTCAAAATCTTTAGTAGCTTTGAGTTGTTGATTATGATGCTCTTTCTGTTTTTGTTGCTTTCCACTAATTCGACATAGAGCTTTGTTACGGGCTTCATGAAGATCATGGTCAATCTCGTAAAACTGTTGAATAATGGTATTATGCAACAAATCTTCGGATATGCTAGGGTGCAGTGGTAGTGGGGCTTTTCATCCATAGATCAAATAGAACAGTGTTTCTTGGGTCGTAGCTTGTTTTGAAGTGCGGTAAGTGAAGAGTATTGATGGTATCAGTAGGTTCCAATTAGTAACGTTCATTACTAACTTCGCTATCGATTTACACAAGGTCTTGTTGAAATGCTCGACAAGGCCATTTGTCTGTGGATGATATGGCGAGGAGTAATGGTGGCTTCGTGTTTAGGGCTCATCTACTACATGATTACTAAAGTGTGATCCTTGGTCAGATAAGAGGATGTTTGGACATCTGTGTCTGCATACGATGTCCTTGTAGATAAACTTCACCACTTCTTTGGCATTTGCTTTTGAAATTGTGTAGGCTTCTGGCCATTTTGATATATAATCAGTTGCTACTACGATATATCTATTTAGTCGTGGTGTAATAGGCAATGGTCTAACTATATCTATCCCTACTCTGTGAAAGGGGCTTGGACGGGAATTGGGTAGAGTGGTTCTTTTAATCTTTTATTCCATATATCTGGCATTTCTCACATGTTTTGATATACTCAAGTATGTCATTGTACATTTGGGGCTAGTAATAATGTTCTTTAATCTTATTGAATATAATATCCTTGCCGAAATGAGCACCTACAGGATAATTGTAGGCTAAAAATAATATTGTTTCCAATTTTCCTTCTTGTAACACCTTTATTGGGTTCTTTGGGTCTTTTTATTTTTCTTATATACTGTTCGGTTTTTAATCAGGAAGAATCAACTTTGTTTCACCAGCTGTCTTTGTTGTTCTTCGTTGTAGTGCTGTGGCACTGCCGATACTGGAGTAATTTTTCAAAGCCAAGTATTGTTGTGAATCCATTATTTTTGAAATTTGGTAGTATTTGTTGTTTGTTTCTTTCTGATTTTGCCAGGCTATTGACAACCTAGACTGGATTGAGCTTAATGTCAGATTTATATGTTTTGTTAAGTAATTTTTCCTCATATTTTGGTAGTCAAACTTCAAATCTTTTGGACTTAAAAGTTCAGTTTTCTGAATCCCAAACCTCTTAATATTAGCTATAGATAACGTTTCGATTTGTACGTTTCTTTCGATTTTCGCTTCGATTGGATTTAGTAATTCTTTTTGTCTCTTATTCCCGTCTTCCTTAGACGTTTTCAAATACCAGTAGTAATAGCTTTCCTGGTACCAATAAATCCTTAAGTATACTTCCTAGATGTTTTTTAGCTGTTGGTAATTTTACCATACTAGATTGTAAAATTTTTTTCGAGTCTTTTCTTCTAAAGCAATTTTGCCACGTTGTCTTAATTCATCATATATTTTGTTTTTAGTAGAGAGTAATTTCGTTAATGTTCGATCTTTTTAACTCCAATTCTGTTTTGATGGCAATATCCACATCAACTCGCCTGAATCTTACGCTGGAGTTTCTTTGGTTTCGAGGTTAGCATAGCTTTAGAATGATGCCCAAAATCATAGTTGCCTCAACTCAACATAGTTGGTAGTAGTAGTAGGATTGGTTAATCCTTCTAAGTTATTTGGAAGGTGATAGTCAGTGTATAAAATCTCAATTTAAAAACATGTGAATGTTGTGCACAGTGTATATTAAATTTATATGAACAATTTTAAAAATTAGTGCACTATAAGTTTTTATTATATAATAAAAGTATGTGTACAAATTTAAAATATGTGCACTATAAAATTTATTATATTAAATAGTTTAAATTATTAAACAATTTTAATATATTTTTTGTCTTATTGAATAGTATTTTTTGTTACCAATTTATAATACAATACAATCAATATTTTTAAGTTTCTTATATACATATTTGCATATTAACAAAATAAAGAATTAAATTATTTGTAGTTTGAAAATTACAAGACTTAGTATAGAGTGTAAATTATATCTGTATAAATGCAAATGAATTTACAACTTAAATATTATAACACTATTTGTTTTTAATTTTGTGTGATATCATTAAGCAGCTAACCATATGTTGTTAATAAACTTTTTAGAAAATTAAAGATCAAAACATATATATGTTAATTATATAGATATAAAATACTTTCTATATAGTTTTTTTACTAATTAAATTATATATACTTATTGATAATGTGCACAATGTGCTCTATGTGCACATAGTTAATATTTTATTAGTAAATTTAGTGTTCAAAGATAAGCTGGCTTATCACGGCTTGCTGCGGCTTAATGCGGCTTATCACGTGATAAATTCGAATTTATCACCAAGCCATGTGATAATCTCGAAAATATCATGTGATAAATTCGAAATATTACATGGCTTGGTGATAAATCGAATTTATCACGTGATAAGCCGCATTAAGCCACAGCAAGCCGTGATAAGCTGGCTTGTCTTTGAACACTAAGTAAATTTGGTGCACTATGTTTTTGAAAAGTTGGTGAATCATGCGTATATTCCAGGCCAAAAATATGTGAAACTTTTCAAAAACATGTGCACTGAGCACGCTGTGCACATAGATTTTATACACTAGTGGTAGTATATATTTCTTTCCATGGTATCTTTCATTGTAGGCTAATTCCTTCATATGAGTTTATAATGTCTTTTTTTTTTTTGCAAAATGTTCCTGAAGATGTACAATTGGTTTTCCTTGAATAGGGCCCCACAACTTGCCCTATCCCATCCTGACCAACCTCTCTCTAATATCAGGTCTGTGATAAAACTAATAAAAGAAAATAGACTAACTAAAAATAAATATGAGTTTTTGTATTCTTTTTTTTTTTTTTTTTTTATAATATTTATACTAATTTATGTCTATCTAATGTTCTTTTGTTGAGTACTCTATTTTAGTTCTTTCCAGAGGGTGTTAAAATCATTTTACTGGCCTCTAATTCTTTGTAGAGTAAATCTTTATAGAAAATCGTAGTATTCCCAATTGATGTATTCATCCATCGATTGTAACCATTCCTCAGAGTCAAGGTCCATATTGGGGAATTCTGAAAATGAGTCGTTGTTGTTGGTCTCATACCAACTTTGTTCAAAGTTGGTATAGGTAGGATAGTTTTTCTCATTTTCTTCGAATTCGAGACCTTGAGTTGGCTCTTCCCATCTAGATACTTCAATTAGGTATATTTCATCAATGTCTATAGGTTCTGGCCCAGATTTATAACCACTATTATTTTCGACTTCCATGTGATATACCGTTTAACTGTTCCAGGTAATTTCACAGCCAAATTCTTGGTTAAGTTGTTGCTATAAAGTTTTTTGCAATCTTGCTTGCTCTAGGTAGGTGGTAATAACTTCTTCCTCTTCATTAACCTATTCTATTAGTTCAGAGTTACTGACCCAAGGTATTTCTTCAATTTCTCTATCAGAGTCGTCTATAAAGTATTCTTGGGCTATAGCCTAAAAATTTTTACTTCTTTACTTGCTTTAATGATCAGTAAATTCAAGAGCCCTTCGGTAGAATACATTTGTTTTTTTTAGCATTCTTCATATTAGCTGCTTTTTGGTAATGGCTAATAGTTTCATCCAGGTCTTTCTTAGTTCGGGTAACTCTTTAACTATACGTGATAAGGTGTCTGCATTCCTATGGACCCTTCCCGCTCGTGAATAATATGAAAGTAGTAGGGTTGGAGGCGTAGGATCCATCGAGCTCTTCGATCCTTAAGAGCAGATGTTTGTAGCCATCTTAAGACTGAGTGGTCTATTACAATATAAAAAGGCTTGTACTCTAAATAGTGGTGAAAATACTCTACGGCCCAGACTACAGCGTAGCATTCTAGCTCTGTAGCTAAGTAGTTTCTTTCAGGTCGTGTAAGGCTTTTACTGGTGTATACAATAGCATATTCTCTTCCATTTTCATCTTTTTGTGCGAGTACTGCTCTGAGGCCCACTTCGGACATGTTAGTATATAGGTAGAATAGTTTTTCAAAAATCTGGATACTTTAGAACTGGGGCAGTGGTTAAATGAGTTTTTAGATCTTGGAAGGCTTTTTCTTATCCCTGGCCCCAATTATATGGTGTGACTTTTTCCAATAGCTTATGCAGCGGTTTTGCCATGGTAGCAAAGTTTTTTATAACTTGGTGGTAATAAGAGGCAAGGCCAATAAAGCCTTTGAGCTGCCGGAGATTAGTGGGTGTGGAGAAGTCCTTTACTTTAGCTACCTTCGTTTTGTCGGGCCCGATGCCTTCTTCTCCTACAGTGTGACCTAGGAAATTAATATTGTTCTTTAACAATTTATATTTTTCATAGACCGGCCGTGGCTAAATTCATAAGGACTTCTTAAGGTGAGTCAAATGTTCTTGGAATGTTTTGAGTATATTATTATGTCGCCCAAATATACTGCAACATTTTTTCCAATATTTTTGTAGAGAAGATAATTCATTGCCCTTTGGAAGGTCACTGGGTATTACATAAGCCGAAAGGCATGACTCTAATGTGTAGGTGCCTTGTTTCATAATAAAGACTATTTTTTTGGTTTTCTTTCTTCATACTAATTTGCCAGTACCCACTAGCTAGATCTAGGGAGAAAAACTATTTAGCTTTTCCGAAGGTTTCTAATAAATCGTCGATGCAGGATAAAGAGAACACGTACTTCTTTGTTACAGTGTTTAATTTTTGAGTTTGCCACTTTTCTTTGGTATGATGACGACAGGTGAGGCCCAGAGGCTTTTAACTTTATATATCAACCTATTATTCAGTAATTTTTCTATTTCTTTGTTCAGGAAGTCCTGTTCATCCAGGCAATCCTATAAGCCGATTGTTTAATAGGTCGAGCCTTACTAGTGTCAATTTCATGTTCCACTTCAGTATACTGGCTTAGTTAATGTAGTTCGGAGAAAAGAGGTCTTGAAACCCTTTAATCAGTGTTGGCACTAGACATATTTCCAACCATTTTTATGCTATTGAACTGGACTAGACATTGGACATAATACTTGGACATATATCCAGTCCAATATGTCTAATAATTTTAAAAAAAATATAAAAAAATCTTTGGTAAAAATATGGCCTAACAAAAAGCTTTCCTTGGGTGATTTTACTATATATATTTTACTAATTTCTAGCCCTAATATAAATACTAATCTTAAACTTAACAAACTTTTTATAAATATTGCACATCTAGAATATGTGACAGGTTGATCAACAAAATTAAGAAATTTTTTTTTTATGAAACCGCTCTTGGTGCTCTAAGAAAAACGATTCTACTCATAATTTTGGTATAGATTTATCTAACTCTTCTTTCTAACGCTCTTTCAATCTAATCATAACATTTAAAAACTGTTTAATATAGGCCGATGTTAATCAATTAGCATAACCTGACACACATTTAAGTTCTGCATAAATATTACCTTCATCACATGATCAAGACTTTCTTCGGTGCGATAATGTGAGAATTTTAATTGGCTATTTGTCACATGATTTATATATTATACAATGTCCAATATCCAATACTTTTTGGTCCAATGGATTGGACTAGACAGGACAAGTGTTGTCCAATGTCCATGTTTAATGTCCAGCCCAACCTTGCTTCTAATACATATGTTATTTCTTTTTTTTGTTCTTTGGTTAGATTTTTTTCTTGTACTAATTGTTCAATAATTTCTTTAGAGCTTTGTTCTTTTTTTTCTTCTTCCGGGGTTGAAAGCTCCTCTATAGCCGTTAGGTATATTGTGGGGCTATCTTTTTTCCAACAATTAATATTTGTTTCTTCTTCGGTTACAGAATTGTCTATATAATAACTTTTTGCTTCTTCTAGGTCTTGCTCTTCCTCATATTGGTTGAAAAAGTCATTTTCATCATCTTCAGCATCTCGTGAAAGTTCTATTTTGTCTTCTTTGGCCTGGTAAATAGGGACCTTGATGCTTTTACCTAGGTACCTTAGAAATAGTTTTCTTTCATCGAAATGGAGGTGGGCTCGTACTTTCTGGAACCAATCTATTCTGAGAAGCATTATTTCTTCGGGGTTCTTAATTACTTGGAAGTAGGGTTCTTAGGTTCAGTTCAGTTCAAATTTAGGTTCAATGAACCTGAACTGAACCTGAACCTGAACCTGAACCACAAATTTTGC